AGAATATACAGTTTTTTGTAATCAAATTTTGCTGTCGCTGCAGTTTTAAGTGTCACTGTGGCTGGACCCAAAGAACAATCAGTGATGAAGTAAAGAAATAAGCGGGGAGAGAAGAGTTCGAGTGAGCATCAATGTATCATGTGTTTCCTGCAGCGATCCACATTTTCTGCCTTTGCTCTTTCACCTTCTTTTCCTCCATTTTTGCTTTTAAATTCTCTGGCACAGACAACCCAAATTACTCATGTAGTGCTGCTGTTCTAAGTGCAAAATTGTATCTGCAAAAATAAACGCAACTGTTTAACAACAAGTTGGCCAATTGATAAGGCCAACCGGCCACTGAACTGTACTTGAGGTGCTGAGTTAGGCAGGCTATATAATATGCTCTGTTTTGACTGAGCATTTCAGATAAACTCCTATTTATGCAATCGTCGTCCTTTCTCATTTGTTTTGTTTTTGTTATTCAATTCTTGAAGCTGTTCAAAAATTTTCAGAATGGAGAACAGTGCACATATTGTGAAACTTAAGTTGCTAAATTAATTTTTTTATAAGTTTTACCTAACCAGTTTCTGATCTTTGGGGTTTATTTTTTGCTGAAACAAAAAAAAAAATAAGCATTGTTATTTTAATAAGAAGAAAAAATCCAGAAGTGGAGAAACTTTTTACAAGTTTTTTTATATTGAATGAAATTAGTATGGTTTTTTGTATGGTGTGAAGCGCTTCTTCTAAGCAGTTTTGAAACTCCTTATCAGGGGGGAGTGGTGATAAATTGGTTGATATTTCAAGTTTCGCAGCATCACTTAAACAGTGACTTAAATACAACTCGGCGATAGTTGTTTTGATGGCGCTGACTGCGCTGAATACCGCGCACAAACGTTTTTTACAAATAATTGTTGTCCTGGTTGTGAACTTCGATTTTTTGTTGGTAGACACCAACCATGCATTGTCTTCTGGTCAAATATTTTTTAAAAATCGAAGAATCAATGTTAGACCTACCAGTTTGGTTTCTCTGAAATGCTGAAGAATCAGCTACTATTGATATAGATCTGTAGTTCATAGTTTGCAGTGGTCTGCAAAGGCCTCTAATTTTATCATATCGACGTTCGTCCGCGTCAAACCTTATACTTACGCCAACAATATGTTAGTTTTTTACTTTTATTGAATTATCAGGAACCAGTTTCCACTTTTCTCACGCATGTTGTCATTTTTCTGTTACATTGACAGTAACAGTAACTTCAGTTTTTTTTTAATTCGATGTTACAACAATTTAACTTCTGCAACTCAAGAGTAGTGGAGTAAATTATGATAAGTGTTTTTAACTGCAACGGATGAGCGCGAAATCTCAGATTATGATTCACAATGACGTATTTAGTTTTCTGTTTGCCATGTTCTTTCATACCTGTTGTTCAATTTGTCTCTTATTTCAAGACGCCTCTTTTTGATGGAAAGATTACAGTTTTACTGGAAGGAATTAATTTGATCAATTTAATGATACTTCGTGAAAATTCGTTTTTTTTTTTTTTTTTTTTTTTTTTTTT